GGAATAGTGAAATTCAGTTCCTGTACCCATTGAGAACAAGTTCAATAACACACATAAAAAGGTGACGTCATTCAACGACCTAACACAAACTCCCCCACGGTGGTCCACCCCTTCCATTGACGTCATCTCTACTCCTCTAATGGACGCCCGACTGTCAAGGGGGGGGGGGGGTGCCATGGAAGTCTGTTATCTTCCTAAGATTAGACAAAACTACCCGAGATTCACTAGACCATGACGGGGCGTTACACAACCCACCCCGGCCTTGATGCGCCCGAGACTGCGCCCCGTCCATTCATGGGCGATCACAATCTCCCCTACCTGGTCGTCTAGCTCGGCTCAGACGAGATGATAATCTTCCGTTTCCGGTGAGGGCTGAATTGATCTTTGGTCAATGGGATCAGGGGAGGGAGAGGAAGGATTTAGTTTCTTATAATAAGAAAGGGCTGTGATGTGTTAGTGTGGGTTGGGGGGTTTATGTTGTAAAATTGGAAGGTGGTGTGATGTATTTGTGATGGGTGGAGGGCGTTATGTGTTTAAAACGAATATCTTGAGTGATGTATTTGTGTGAGTTGGGTGATTTTATGTTGTAAAATAGGAAGGCGGTGTGATGTATTTGTGTTTGGGTGGGGGGCGGGCATTAGGTAGTTACGATGAAATCTTGTGTGATGTATTTATTTAATGGGAGAGAGGGTTTTTCCATAGAAAAAATTACATGTGGTGTATTTGTGATGAGTGGGAGGCATTATATATTTAAAACAAGGTCTTGCGATTTGTATTTGTATTGCTGTATTTTGTTCAGCTCTGCGATTTGTGGTGGGGAAGGACAAATGAACATTTAGTGTTTGTTTAATATTAGATTTGTTTTAAAATAATCTTCAAATGTTTTGATTTTTTAAAGTCATTTACCATAAAACATTATGCAGATACTAAAGCACATTAATTGCTTCTTACATTTGAAGTGTTTAGCGAATCTTCGCTCCATCACCTCCATAAAAATGTTTACGCACCCCCCCCCCCCCCCCCCCCTCGGAGCTTCATACACTAACACGAGCACAACAAGCCTCCGTTTTATTTTAAACATTTCTGGTTTACGATTGTATGTCGAACAAAAATAAAGCAGGATCATATGATTGTTTTAATTAATATTACAATAAAATTTAGCTTTTCGGGGAGACACCACACACATGTCTATTTTTTTTAAAATTCTGCAAGTATAAAGGCATTTAATATATCCATATATTAATTATAAGTATTTTGCAGACAATTAGAGATTGTGCTAATCTTACATGATAAGTAAGATTGCCATGTGAATGATGAAACGGTGTGAAAACAAAGATCTCTATAAATCTCAACAACTCTGCTTACTAAAAAAGAAAAATGTATTATCATATTTTTATTTCTTAAACAACACAATAAATTATTACGTTAGATTCTTGTAATGGGTAGTACACATTTTTCAAACACTCATCTCTATGTAAACAAACTACGCATTTCATCTAAGAAATTTTCAGTAATGTGTTTTATAAGTTTTATTTCTGTTGGAGCGTTGGTAAAGAGAACACCGCTTAAAAATATAAAAACATATCAAAGAGTTTATTGAAGTTTTAGTGTGAGCTATATAATTATTTTTCTGATAACATTTTTTGTTAAGAGGTAACCATTTTAAAATAGCACAATAGCACCTCCACATCCAACCCTCCCCCCCCCCCACAAAGACATTATTCCAATGTCCAACATTCTCAAATTTATCACGGAATAGTCAGAGGCACACAATAGCTGACGTGTCGGTGGATGAGCACGTGCAAATTTTAACTCTCACGTCCCGTAAACCAGACTCACGTGCAAGCAAACACACACACACACACACACACACACACACACACACCGCGCGCACACACACACACACACACGTGCACACCATTCGATGCCTGCGCCCTTTATCTCCTCCACGCAACATCTCACACCGGTCCTCGTTTGTTAAACAACGTCGCGTTATCGCCGCGATGATGTGAGCGAGACGTGACCTTTGACCCGACCGCTCACGTAACCCACTGCTCACCCTCGTGCATGTTTACCCCATCCCCCCTGTCACTCCGTCTTCACGAGTTACCAGCAGACGTAACCCCCCCCCCCCCCCTTTAACTTTCTCAATCCTAACACATCCAACGAGCATTTCTGCAATCCTGCGTCTTCCTCGCCCGCGTCTTCACATTTCCGTGACGCAATAATTATCATGACGCAGGCTGGAGCGACACCAGATAACACAAACCACTGAAGCGTGAAGTGAGTGATGAGTGAACAGACCCGAGCCCTGAGTGAGGGAACCGCCAGTTATGTGCCCGCAGCCTCCAGGAACCCGGGTCACGTGATAGAGTTATTGTAAATATTCCCGACCTGGCATTTTTACGACGTAACGTTATCAGCCGACCGTTAAAGTGACAAACATAGATTAACCCCCCACCCGCTGGTGAGTACTTGAAACCAGGTTCATTTGTTGGTTTAATGAAATGTGCTCACTCAACCGTGTCGTAACGATAATAGATCTAATAAATTAACTTTCATTTTCTTATAAACAAATAATGTAAAGAAAGAACTTGATACCCAGTTAATATTTAACATAAAGTATTTTACATGTTATAAGCTTAAAGCGAGGCAATAAAAATAGAAACAGTGATCAATTAAAAAGAAAATTAAAAGCGGACTGTCTATCACTGGTTTGAATTTAGTTTGAACAGAGAGTTTCTTCCAGCCATCTCTCCCCCCCCTCCTCCAAAGAAAGTCTAGCGCCCCCCACCCCCGAACGAGATGGAATTTATATAGTAAACACATACTTTTGCTAGTGCTCCCCCCCCCCCTTCCCCGGAAAATGTAGACCGCCTACCCCCTGAAAATTTCAAGTGCCCCCCCCCCCCCGCGTAGGAGAAAAAAGTCTGAAAGAAACACTGAACAAGAAAATGAACAAAAGTAGACAAACGTCACTGCCATGATGTTAACTGTATAACTTACGACATTACTAAATGGACTAATGTCCAACGTTCTCTTTAAGTGGAAAACACGTGTTCAGTGTTTATTTTGTGCGCGCGGTGTTATAAAAGTCTTATACAAAGAAACATATATTTTACAAAATGCGACCTTGCAGTTTAGAGGGAACATTGCTCATATGATATGACAATGTACGTGTTTGATATATATCTCTATTGTATTAACAACAGTAAGTTCTTCCTAAACACGAACATATTTCACTAACCATTGACAATCAGTTTCAATGGAGATATTTAACACACCAAAAAAATCAATTTAAAACATTTACAATCATTAATTTCTCATGTGTCGTAGATCCGTTTGTACAATACTATTTTAACTTGTCTAAGAAGAATGAGAATGCTAATTAATTTATAAATTAAAGCTCAACTCACATATTCTTTGTCAGTATTTTCTTTCTTTCTTGCAACAGCATCCAACTTCTGTATAACTTACAAACTGATCAAATTTAATGCGTTATGTTTTGGTTTTATCATAAACACAACTCACTAAATTTTATTCAAACTACTCACATAATTCTACCAACTTGAGCATAACAATAACATCTACAATCTCTTGTACGATAAGGTTTAGAGATTATACAACAAAGTCGTTGATTTTTTTTTACTAGCGACCTCAGTAATAGCTGTTATCAAAAACACATGCCTCACCCCTCCCCCCACCACCCTCATAGCTTTTTAAAGTGTGTTTAACCAAGGTGTGGACAATATTGACCTAATGCCCTAAACAGGCTTGTCCAGGCTCTATTCACCCAAGCGTAACACAAGAGAGGGGGGAGGATAATAGTGACCAATACTCGCGTAAGATGACCAATTTTTTTCCTATCAAGTACCTAATCCATCTTTCCAAGTGGCGTCTAAGGCTCTGATGGTCCCACAATAGCAGGGGCTCCCCCGTGAAGGTTTACAATACCCCCTTCCCCTCCTTCTTCCCTCCGCCGTTTCGTTGATGGAGTATTACGTAGGGTTCTTTAATATGATCGGTGGTTCTTTTTGTGTGGGTGTGCGCGGTGTGGTGTTGGGTTGTGGTTCTTGGGGGTTATTGTTAGAGGCGGCTGGTCAAGTAAACGTTAGGTTAAAGAAGTGGGTGGGGCTGACACCTCGTGGGGGACTGGGGGGAGGGGAGGCAGCCTGATGATAAACTGCTGGTTAAACCAAACTGGTTACGGTGGTTATGTGGTTAGATAATGATGGGGGAGGGGCGGTGGTTTATGTATTGAAGTCGACGATATGTGTTGTTTCTTTCCGTAACGCCATTCACCTAAGCAAACTTTGTTTAGTTAGGTTAGTGTCCGCATGTAACACTAACCTCAATCTTAACTTAACCATACCCCAGAGGCTCAACAACACAGGATTAACAGCCCTGTATTTGTCTCATTATTAACCATCTCTTTTGACTGGATATAAAATCTTGCTCGTAACATTTACTTCTCTCCTTCATTGAGCTTGTTCCACTCCAACTGGAGCATAAATCGTCCACAGCATCCTTCATTGTTTGTATGTTTTTGCAATGTTTCTTCCATTACTCTCCATCTTTTCCCCCTACTTTTCATCTTTTCCCATACTTTCCATCTTTTCCCCATACTTTCCATCTTTTCCCCCTACTTTCCATCTTTTCCCCATACTTTCCATCTTTTCCCCATACTTTCCATCTTTTCCACGTACTTTCCATCTTTTCCCCATACTTTCCATCTTTTCCACGTACTTTCCATCTTTTCCCCATACTTTTCATCTTTTCCCTCTACTCTCCATCTTTTCCCCATACTTTCCATCTTTTCCCCGTACTTTCCATCTTTTCCCCTACTTTCCATCTTTTCCCCATACTTTTCATCTTATCCCCGTACTTTCCATCTTTTCCCCTACTTTCCATCTTTTCCCCATACTTTTCATCTTATCCCCGTACTTTCCATCTTTTCCCCATACTTTCCATCTTTTCCCCGTACTTTCCATCTTTTCCCCCTACTTTCCATCTTTTCCCCATACTTTCCATCTTTTCCCCGTACTTTCCATCTTTACGCCATACTTTCCATCTTTTCCCCAAACTTTCCATCTTTTCCCCGTACTTTCCATCTTTTCCCCGTACTTTCCATCTTTACGCCATACTTTCCATCTTTTCCCCCTACTTTCCATCTTTTCCCCATACTTTCCATCTTTTCCCCATACTTTCCATCTTTTCCACGTACTTTCCATCTTTTCCCCATACTTTCCATCTTTTCCACGTACTTTCCATCTTTTCCCCATACTTTCCATCTTTTTCCCGTACTTTCCATCTTTTCCCCCTACTTTCCATCTTTTCCCCATACTTTCCATCTTTTCCCCGTACTTTCCATCTTTTTCCCCTACTTTCCATCTTTTCCCCATACTTTTCATCTTTTCCCCGTACTTTCCATCTTTACGCCATACTTTTCATCTTTTCCCCGTACTTTCAATCTTTACGCCATACTTTCAATCTTTTCCCCATACTTTCCATCTTTTCCCCGTACTTTCCATCTTTACGCCATACTTTCTATCTTTTCCCCAAACTTTCCATCTTTTCCCCGTACTTTCCATCTTTTCCCCGTACTTTCCATCTTTACGCCATACTTTCCATCTTTTCCCCCTACTTTCCATCTTTTCCCCATACTTTCCATCTTTTCCCCATACTTTCCATCTTTTCCACGTACTTTCCATCTTTTCCCCATACTTTCCATCTTTTCCACGTACTTTCCATCTTTTCCCCATACTTTTCATCTTATCCCCGTACTTTTCATCTTTTCCCCATACTTTCCATCTTTTCCCCCTACTTTCCATCTTTACGCTATACTTTCAATCTTTTCCCCGTACTTTCAATCTTTTCCCCGTACTTTCCATCTTTTCCCCATACTTTCCATCTTTACGCTATACTTTCAATCTTTTCCCCGTACTTTCCATCTTTTCCCCGTACTTTCCATATTTTCCCCATACTTTCCATCTTTACGCTATACTTTCAATCTTTTCCCCGTACTTTCCATCTTTTCCCCGTACTTTCCATCTTTTCCCCATACTTTCCAACGTTTCAATGAGACTGATCCTGGTGTTTTTTTTTTGTATTCGCGTTCATTATTTTCTACTCACATCATTAAAAATCTTTCGCCTTTTATGAAGAATACTAGGCATGCTGCCCAGCTTCGCTTAGGCTTTCGAAAACATTGAGAATTTGAATGCTTAATTAATTCGCCCGAAGGTCGGTCTACGACCTCAAGAGTTATGAAGAGGTTCCTCCGTGGACATTTTTTTTCGATTTATAGCTCATATAAGGTACCGGTCAGTCGAGGTCAGTTTTGACCCCCACATCGTAGACTTTTCGGCCAACCGGCCCCCGTGTTCTGTCGCACCAAGGCAAGATCATGCCAAATTTGAAGCGCCTGCGGCGCCGGGAAGTGCCCTATCGGACACCCGACAATCTAGATCTAGAGCTAGATTCCTAAAAGAATTTTTTTTTAAGTTTAGCCCGAGCATAATAAAAAAGAATACATTAACTAAGCTGACTTGCTGTGTCTCGAACCCGCACCACCTGCGTGGTTTAATGTACACTAACATCTCCGCTATTTAGGCACCTTATAAAATACGGAGAATGAAAGACGTATTTTAAAATCTTAACTTACGCGAAAATGCCTATTCTTTCAAATTAATTTTTTATCCCAAATTAGCCAGTTCATAACAAAGATTTTGTATAAAATAAATAAGTCTTGAAATAGTTTAGTCCTAATATAGAAATTTATTTTTGGAATTGATTTTAGAGAAGTTAGAGTCTAAATCTAGATCTTAGCGTCTACGTCTAGATCTAGTTATTGCGTAGATTTAGATTTAGATTTAGTCTAGATCTAGAATCTCTAGATCTAGAATCCAAATACATAAAATAAATTTTATGAGTTTAGGCCGGAAAAATTGTATTGTATACATTTCATAGTGTACGTAGATCTAAATCAAATTTGAATGAAATAGTTCATTTCTTTTCATTCTAAACACGGCAGATGACGTCATTAGTTAATGTATAAGCAATAGTGACGTCACAGTTTTATGCGTTCTTTTTCACATATATTAATGCTTTTCCGGTTGCATAAATAATACTGTTTCTCTATATTCGAATACGCCTTTATTTTTTATTTTTCTTCTTTAAATAATTTTGTGGTTATACATTTAAAACATCTAACATATTTTTTTCAACAAAAGTCCGTAAAAAGTTCTCGATATATCGCTGCCGATTCTGACGTGATGTCCGGCGAAAATTTTTTGAGAGAGAGAGAGATGTGCGAACGTGGGGATTTATATATTAGGATATTTGAAAATAATTTACACATATAAGAATTTACTTTAATTTATACAATTGCACCAGAAGATTAAATGTTTCGAAGTTGAAAAAAAAAGCGATATATTTTTGTTAACAACAAACAACTGACTTCCAGTGAGTTTGTGCAGTAACACTAATCAAACTAAAATCCAAAACAAAAATCTAAAAATAAATCTAAAAGAAATATCTATTATGTAACGAATTATATTATTAAGTGACGGAACAACTCTTGTCATTAACTTTTTTTTTCTAAGACGCAAACAAAATCACAAAAAAAAAAAAAATTAACAAAAATAGTTAAAAATTAACAAATTAATGAGTCGACACGGTTATTACAAATACAAAAGTGAAATGAAAAGCTTTTACATTTTCAAATTAATTTCACAATTTTACCATTTAATGTATTTGATGTATTTATACATTTAAATCAAACTGAAATAGCGTGTTCTATTAATTGCTTTGAACAGAATAGCAGAAAAAATCTTTGATCAAGTAAATGTTATCTGATGGTTGCTAATGTTTCCCAGTACGTGAGTTCTTGTCGCCATGTCTTACATCAAATACATCCTTACAACAACACAGCCTTTTGATCGAATCCTATTCAAGTCAAACCAAATCCTATGTGACGCAACTCTATTCAGACGTCCGCGAGTAACGGTAACCCTATCATTAGGATTATCCCCCTTGTTAAATAGTCGTTAAGTTGGCAAATGACCGGGTTACAGGGGCCAACAAGGGCGGTATGGGTGGGCGGTTGTGCTGGGTGAATACCCGGACTAGTACTTGCTTAACAACAAACTGTGAGGCAGTGAAGAACTATCTAGAACCATCTAGATCACGGGTCAAGTGATCTCCAGACACGGGTCAACTGACCACTTATCACTGGTCAAATTGCTGGACTTAGCTTACATTATTTCACCCAGTGAAGCACAATGTACAACACCCGAGGTGTTACAAATGTTCTCCCCCCCCCTTTCTAAAAAAAGTTACGTTTTATAAAATAAAAAATCTTAATATTTTAGATTCTGTTGGTTGGACGCAGAAACCAAACACATCACAAACAGATCACAAACAGATCACAAACACATCACAAACACATCACAAACACATCACAAACACATCACAAACACATCACAAACACATCACAAACACATCACAAACACATCACAAACACATCACAAACACATCACAAACACATCACAAACACATCACAAACACATCACAAACACATCACAAACACATCGCAAACTCATCACAAACACATTACAAACACTTCACAAACACATCACAAACACATTACAAACACATCACAAACACTTCACAAACACATCACAAACACATCACAAACACATCACAAACACATCACAAACACACCACAAACACTTCACAAACACATCACAAACACATCACAAACACATCACAAACACATCACAAACACATCACAAACACATCACAAACACATCACAAACACATCACAAACACATCACAAACACATCACAAACACACCACAAACACTTCACAAACACATCACAAACACATCACAAACACATCACAAACACATCACAAACACATCACAAACACATCACAAACACATCACAAACACATCACAAACACATCACAAACACATCACAGACACATCACAAACACTTCACAAACACTTCACAAACACTTCACAAACACTTCACAAACACATCACAAACACATCACAAACACATCACAATCAAATCAAAAACACATCACAAACACATCACAAACACATCACAAACACATCACAATCAAATCAAAAACACATCACAAACACATCACAAACACATCACAAACACTTCACAAACACTTCACAAACACTTCACAAACACATCACAAACACATCACAAACACATCACAATCAAATAAAAAACACATCACAAACACATCACAAACACATCACAAACACATCACAAACACATCACAAACACATCACAATCAAATAAAAAACACATCACAAACACATCACAAACACATCACAAACACATCACAAACACAGCACAAACACATCACAAACAGATGACAGTAGCATCCCAGACACATCAATACACACAGGAGAGGCACCCAACTGCCTATTCCAAACAAACCCAATCACACTAGGAAATGTGCACATGTACTTCAGAAACATCACAAATAGATCATAGTCACCGCAGAAACATCGTAAAAAATCATAGTAACTTGAGAAAAATCACTAGCACATCACAAACAGAGCAGAGTCACTATAGAAACATTACAAACAGATCATAGTAACTTCAGAAACATCACAAATACATCATACACAAACGATCGTCACTTCAGAAACATCACAAATACATTACAAACAAACGATAGTCACTTCAGATAGCCAACCTTACCAACATATCACAAACAAACTACATACACTTTAGAACCATCACAAACACATCACAATCACATCAACCAAACCCCATACAATAATTCAAAACGTAACGCCCCTCCCCCCCCCCCCCAACCTCATGCAACATCTCACCAATTTGAAACCACGTAAGCCGCACTAAAAGCCCATCAACCTACTACTTAGCACCGGCTTCACCAAACGCACACACCATCTTTAATACTGTACACTCCTCCGCCGACAACTCCCTGAATGTAACCGACCATAACCGCGTCTTTCATCTCCCAAGGGCTCCCCATTCACCTATATGGCTACTCTTAGGTCAGTAATGCCCAGTTTAATAACAGCAAGGTCTATTCGCGTTCGACGGTTTTTTCTCGCTTCGTTTCAACTGTAGTGGTGTGGTCAGGGGCGAGTAGGCCCGGGGGTGGGGCGCCGTGTTCCGCCTGGGTTGCGGTGTGAGATGTATCTCTTATCTCATCTGAGGTAACAAACAAACCTGTCTCTGTGGGGATTGGTCATTTGACAGCAAGAGGCTAATGGGGCGAGGGGGACATCGCTGTATACAAAACATACCCCTTTCTCTTATACTCATAAAACACCTCTTTAGATAGAACAATGTCATCCATTTATAAAACACCTTGTTTAAAAAATAGATTAAAGCCAAGATGGGGAGGTGTGGGA